AATAGTTTTGTAGCCTCTCGAAGATAAGTACAGAAGTATTCGTACCAATCCACAAGACTCTACTAAACTTGCTCGTGACTCGTAAAATGTATGAACCTAGAGCTCTGATACCAACTTGTCATGACCCAAAAACCGACCACAGGTGTCGTGATGACACTTAGTCTCTAAGACAAGGTAAGCCGATTACTATAACAAATTAAGCCAATTTATTTTTGAAACAGAGTTTAATACAAGTACTGAAACGAATGCGAAATTAGGCATACGCGACAACAATCATAAAAAACCTCCCAAGACTGGTAATACAGAGTCACGAACTATAGCTGAATACATGGAATGGTCTCAAGGATCGAAATACAATATTGTTCAAATGATAACTGATAGTACAATTTAAGGAAAAGACTCCAAGGAACTGTGACGACCAAGCAACTCTATCTTGAATCCTTCCGATCAACAAACTAACTCTACTAGAGTTCGATATCTCCAATACGTGGCTCTGCACAAAAATATGCAGAAGTGTAGTATGAGTACAACATGGTTCAGTACCCAGTAAGTATCAGGACTAACCTCGGTAGAGTAGTGACGAGATACAATCAAGACACTCACTAGATAAATAACCTGTGCAGGATAGTAGTATAAAGCTAATAATGAAAAGCAGTAATTAGAAAATGGCAACAAAATCAACATGTGCTATAGGGAGTAAAGCAAGAAGAACACCGTGAATGCATCATTAAAACCAAATAAGGAACAAAAAGGACAATCAATTAATCAAACTGTATAACACAAGTTTCACAACGAAATCACTCTGTGATACCTCATATCATAGTCACAAGTCTCGGGTCTCAACCCGTCATCATATACTCACAGCACCTCATGCCCACATCTCAAAATCACAACTGCACAGACAACTCACGTGCCAAAATCACTATCCGCCCGGCATAGTCACAAGCTCACAGTCACAATCTGCCTGGTATGGTCACTGGCTCACAATCACTATCCGCCCGGCATGATCACAAGCTCACAATCATTATCCGCCCGACATGATCACATGATCACACGATCCGCCTGGTATAATCACAGGCTCAATAACAACATGAAAATGGATAATACAAGAATACATGGCCATGATCAATAAATGTCAAGTTTTATACTCATGAGCTAGTATAAGTAACATGTTATAGTGTATGCTTGTGTGAGTGTACTACTGTAGCCCATGTCAACCAATAATATCAAGGACATTGAATAGCTCATCGAAACAACAAGACAAGTCATACAAACTATATAACAAACATAACAAAAATCACACCATCACACGAAATTTACCAATACAATGTCTCCGAACAATCACACATCATCCCTAACATTTGTCACCCTTATCTCTCTGATAGCCACCCATATCACTCTGTATAATAACCACCTGTATCACTCCGCCTTGACAATATCATTAGCCACCCTTATCTCTCATATATCCACCCGTATCACTTCGTATAATAGCCACTTGTATCACTCTGTGTCATAGCCACCCTTTTCACTTCGCCCGGACAATAACACAATAGCCACCCATATCACTCCATACATTCAACAACAGTAAGATGCTACCTTTATGCCCTGTATAACAATAACGGTGAAGTGCCACCCTTATACTCTGCATACAGCAATCTAATCACACAACAATTGACATGTACTATCATTACAACAACACAACATAATCAGCTCGTATAACAAGTACCCTTAGGATGTCCTTTACAAAGATTCAATGATATCAATAATTTTACAACATATAGCCCACAGCTCAACACATGTATAGAATCTCAATAACAACAACATGAACGGAAAAGTAACTCAGCAAGGACAACACCTCTGTTAAACACAACTTCAAGTAAAATAGATTAATGTCTCTTGATAACTTCAATTCCAATTAATTATTTAAGGATAAATTCAATAATGAAAGTATCTCTACGAAATGGCAACTCAACAATAAAAGAATTCACGTAAAATTTAAAATGGTAACATCTCCAAATAAGCATAAAAAAACAAACTCGTCAAGTAAAGAATGTGACATGTAACGATAACTTTCAATAAAACATGTTATAGTGGACATGGCGAATAAAGGATATAATATGTTCCAACAATTTCTAATTAAATATATAAAATATGCCTAAGAGTTTAAACCGATAGAATTTCTACATATAAGCCCGAGTACGTACTCGTCACCTCGCGTACACGGCTTTCACATAATACAAATAGCACAAACGACTCAAATCCTAAGGGGTAGTTCCCCACACAACGTTAGGTAAGATACTTACCTCAACGAAGCTAGATTTATACTCTAAAATGACCTTCTCGAGTGAAACAACCTCTAGACGGCTCAAATCTAGCCAAAATAATTTCATAACATAAATAAAACTCCAAGAAAATAATTGCGGATAATAAAGCTTCAATTTTTAATTAAAACTAAAAAGTTATGTTCGCACCTGCGATACATTAGTCGCTTCTGCAGAGAAGCACTGGAGGTCTGCCCTTCGCACCAGCGAAAAAAGTTTCGCTTCTGCGCAAACGCAAGTGCGACCAAAATCACGCTTCTGCGCTGCCTTTCACCTCTGTGATCTAAGATTCCGCTTCTATGAACATACAGATGCGCCCAGCATTCCGCTTGTGCGGAATTCCCTCATTCATTCCAATTTCGCTTCTGCGGCCAAAGTGCTGCATCTGCGACCAACCCTCCCGCAGATACGGACACACCAGAACTCTACCAAACCAGCCTTAACCAAAATAATCCAAAACGATCTGAACCTCGTCTGAAATTCATGTGAGCCACTCGGGACCTCATCTGAATATACTAATAAGTCTCATAATGTAACACGGCCTTACCAAAGGCCCCAAATCATATCAAATAATGTCGAAACTACGAATTCCATCTCAAATCAAACTTATAAATTTTTAAATCTTCCAACTTCTAAAACTCGTGCCGAAACATATCAAATCAACCCGGAACGAACCCAAATTTTGCACACAAGTACCAAATGACATAACGAAACTATTCCAATTTCTGAAACCAAAATCCAAACCCGATATCATCAAAGTTAACTCTCAGTCAAACTTATGAACATTTCAAACCTTCAAATTTCCAACTTTCGCCAATTAGTGTCGAAACCTTCTAGGAATATCCAAATGCAAATTCGGGCATACGCCTAAGTCCAAAATTACCACCCGGAGCTATTGGAATCATTAAAACACCCTTCTGGGGTCGTCTACACAAAAGTCAAACTTAGTCAATTCTTCCAACTTAAAGCTTCAAATCATGAACTTCATTCTTCCAACTAATTCCAAATCATCTGAAAATCGAACTCGACCACATACACAAGTCATAACACATAATACGAAACTACTCGAGACCTTAAACCACCTTACGGAACGATAATTCTCAAAACGACTGGTCGGATCGTTACAAAAATAATACATGCATTAACTTTTGGTGTTAGTAATCCATTGTTTGCTACACTTTTTCAACATCTGTATTACTAATGCAAGTATTACTTATACAACATATTTGGTATTATCCTATGTATAACTAATACATAACAAACAATGGTATTAGCAATACCAAGGCTATAAATGTGTGCATTAGCATGGTTGAAGACAAAATTATCCTTAAAGTCCCTTGAAACTAAAGAATGTGAAGGGCATTTTTATAAACAAGTAATTTTCTTAAAAATTATATATAATGCATTTTAATTTGTAATACACCACACCAAACAGTGGATAAGAAATAATCTTTGCACAACTAATGCTTGCATTACTTGTAAACAAGTAATTTTCTTAAAAATTATATATAATGCATTTTAATTTATAATACACCACACCAAACAGTGGATAAGAAATAATCTTTGCACAACTAATGCTTGCATTACTAACTCATGCATTACTAATCCTTGCATTACTAATACAATACCTTATTCAGCATTATTCTTATACACCCTATCAAACGACCCCTAGCCTCTTCATTTAGCGGCAACCAGACTCATTCAAATTGGAAAACTATTAAGCTGGTTCAATGTATTTCCCCATTTACAATTGTCCTGCCCAACTATATGTAGTTGTAATACTATCTCTTTAACTCTGTCGGTATATTCCCTACTCTTCATTCGAAATCTCCTGGAGTTCCTTCCAGCCCAGGAGATTTCAAATGAAAAGATAGCTTTATTTTTCTTGTTAATTTCCCTCTTCCTAAATATTTAGTTTCACATCAGATACTTCTATCAAGTGAAACCAATCAAACGCCTCAATCCCAAGTTAGTAGAAGTTTTTGTCTCAATCTCAAACAAATTCGATTTAGTTAACCGGATTTATAGCAAAGACTTTTTTGATCAGTTTGCGAATCATTGGAATATATATGTCCCATAAAATGAACAAAGCAGAAAAAAGAAAACAGCAAAACAGGGTACAATGGGAAGAACTAATTGAAGAGGTAATTAAATAATCCACTAATAAAAAGATGAAAATAGCAACAAAAAGTACAAGCACAGGCGATGAACAGATTATGATTTAGCAGAAAAGATAACACAATAAACATTAAGATTTTGTATCTCAAACACATTTAACAAGAACAATAAGCAAGACAGTCAGTTAGCATATTAGAAAGTACATTCAGAGAATGAATATTCTCAAGTAGTTTCTATTTTATCACCTAAAAGCAAATATAGGTAAATTATTAATTTTTAAGGAAATAAGGCAGGCACCGAACTACAACTGTTTTAATTTTCAACAACTACAACAGGGGTAAACTATAGTGTAAAATTTCGTTAAAACCAACAACAAAGATAGATTTAAAAAAGGGCAAAATCACATGCATCATTAGTCAATGAAATTGCACATAAGAATTAATAAAAGAATCCCCAATTTCAAAGACATAATTGATCATTGAGTGATGATAAAGTATCCATCTTTAACAATAGCAAATATTGAAAATCATAACCAAAAGAACCAGAAGGGAAGATGAAGAGGAAGGAAAATAAACAGCAGGAAATTCATTGAAAATCCACATCTATAAATGCCCTCTTGACAAACAAAATAGTAGTATAACATTTTGATCAATCAAAATAACTATAAAAACAACAAAAAAAAGAAGTAAAAGAATCACCACCATCCATAGACAACCTGTGTACACTTGTCTTTAAACCATCTGAAACTTCTCCTTAAAGAACCTTTGACTTTGCCTTCAACAGAGTAAACTTTATAACTAGCAACTCTCCTTTTCCTCTGAAACTCAGGATCATTTAAACTCCAAGATTTTGAGATTGAGCCACAAGTACTCTTCCTTTTCTTCAGCTTGTTCTGTGGTACTGCTGGGGGTGGAAGTGGTGGTGCACCAACAGAAGAAGATGCATATGAAACACTATATGACCTAAAATCTTTAGTAGAAAATTGGGGTTCATAATATTTCTCAATCTGCATCCTACCATCAGTATAAGATTTTGATCTGTAATCTTCCATATTGCTGATTCTTGCTAGTTTTGAAGGCAAGAAAAATATGTATGGGAAGATGAGAAAATTTTGACAGAGTGGGATGCCAAACTGCCAGAGAATAAGGAAAAAGGTGTGCTGTGTAACTACTTGTGTATAAGACTTTTTAAATTTTTAATTTTGAGAGGGCATTGATTGATATTTTCCCTTTTTATTGATTCTAGAGATTGGCGTTTATAATGGGAAAAAAACAACTTGTGTTTTGGGCTAAAGAAAACCAAGGTATTGACTAGTCAACTTTTGTGTCCATGTTATATATAGAGTATCTACATATTTTGAGGGAGACACTCTTTTACAAAAAGTCTCCTTTTCCTTATAAAATGTCATATTTACGTATTCCTACAGTAAATTGATTTGGTACTTATCTTTGTTTTTTTTTTTTCTGTTTGAAATTTCTAGAGGAAATAGTTTTCTTTTATTTCTCATCATAATAACTGGTTCATGGCAGACTGGTATACCTATTGACCAAAGAAAATCTGAAAAATTGACCTAAGAATCGTGAAGAGGTGACTAAGAAATTATCAAAATATTTATGTTTATTATGCACAAAAGATGCTTTTTTTAATGTTTTCTAATCTATCTCTTAGATTTGAAAGGAAAAAAGAATCATAAAACAAGTTAAGAAGAAAGTATACCATTTTTAGGATAGATTCCCTAACTTTTGTCCATGTTATGAAAAAGAAACCTACACATTCTTTTGCCAAAAGTTATTTTTGCCAAAAGTTATTTCTAGTGCGTCACCCTACTGATGCACAAGTCCATAGATGTAAAACTATGGTGAATGAAGGTGTTAAAAGGGAACCAGGTAGACCTAAAATCAAACGAAAAGAAATTGTTTCGAAAGATCTACAAATCTTTAGAATCAATACAGACTTAATTAGCTATAGATAGGGTATAATGGAAGAAAATATTAATATAGTATGTTAGTTATCAATTTAATCAACTTACAATTAATGCTAATTATAAAATTTATATATAAGGTAAATTACTTTATAAATAACTTAATTGTATTAATATTTTTTTATAGTGTCAATGCATTTTCTTGAACTCGAAAAAATAAGGGAGAGCTAATGATGCCAAGTTGTGGAGGCTAGCTAGTGCCTGTGCATAAAACAACACCATGTCAGCTTCACGATTATATTCGCTCTTCAATTCATTATCATAGAAAACAAAGGACATGTTATAAAAAATATTAAATTATGGTGGATGTTTACTGTTTCTTCATGATCTTTATCTCAAATATTTAATGACATATTTAATGATATATTTTCTATATTTAATGACATATTCAATGACATATGTTCTTCACTTTTCATGCATATATAAAGGTCTTGCAATAGATGGGAAAATACACACAATTGAAGAAGAAATAAGAATCTCTTCTCTCTTTCTCTATGTATCTCTTAACTTGATTTTCCTTGTTCCATGTTGTTACTTTGAGTTATATTTTATAATACGGTATCAGCACGAAGTTCTAGCCAACTGAGTCGTTATGATGCGGCCAATGCCGGTAGCGTCATTTAATGTTAATAATATGGTAAGAACAATGACGGTATAAGGTGTACAACGCCAACATATATTCGGCCATCACGGTTAGCCTTTTCTAGTTAGTTTTCAAGTTTCTTTACACTTTGCTATTTATGTTTCCATACATGAACAAACTCATTTTACGAAAAAGTTTTTATTGAAAGTTCATCAAATCATGTAAGGATTTTTGGTGTAAAGAACGATAAATATTTTCCCTATAACAAGTATTATGTTCCTATGTTTTAATATTAAGAAACACGAAGTAAAATTTTTTGAGAGAGCACATATTTTTCCTTTCTATTTTATCACATAACTCTTCCATCTTAAAGTGGGATAATTATCATAAAGGACACGTAGATTTTAGTTGATTATGTGTTTTTCTATATTTGCTTGATACTTTTAATTTGATTGAGTTCGGTTAATGAAAGTTCGCATATGCAAATTAAATTCAATCGCCACCAATAGTAAAAACCCGTTCCATAAGTCTAAAATAAGACATGATGTTACCGTGGAGGTATGAATGAATGTGGACGTGGTAATAGACAAAATTATAATCGTCATCATTATGGTAATTAGAACAATAATGATTCTCAAAATAATCCTTCACTTTATGAAAGTGATGTTTGACATTAATATAACATGAGATTTTATAAAAGCACGCATGGATTATTATGTTCCATTCCTGAAGTGAATGTGAAAATAATGTGATAATCATTATGAATACACATTCATTCTTGCAAGAATATGAACGTGCTAGTGGTAGTAAATATACCACACTCACCTCGAGAAGGGGGTTTGCGATGAAATAAGAAAATAATGTCATTATTATGGCATGAATAGTCATTGGTCACGTACCTATTGTACGCCAAAATATTTTGGCAATGTGATTATTAAAGGACAACAATAATGCAAGAAACAAATCTTGTATCTAATTTTGACCATGACCATAATGGTATAACTTTCTCTTTAAAAGTGATATTCACCATATAGATATTGATGAATATATGGTAGTACAAAATTAATTGAAGGCTCTGGAAGAGCTACTATAACTCTGGCTAAGGAAACAATACTTATCATAGAGAATGCAATGTTCCCCTCCAACTTCAAGAGAAACTTGTTGAGTTTTAAAGATATCCGCCGAAATAGATTTCATATTGAGACAATAGATGAGAATAATCTTGAATATCTCATTGTTACCAAGAATGTCTGTGGCCAGAAAAAGGGTTATTGGGAAGTTCCCTTGTGGCATGTATTGGACAAGAATTAGTGCAATTGAGGCACATTCTATCAAAAACCAAAAGGTTACTAATTCCAATATTTTTGTACTTTGGCATGATCGATTGGGATATCCCGAATCAATTATGATGAGACAAATTATAGAGAACTCAAATGGGCATCTATTAAAGAATTTAAAGATTCTTTTAAATAATGAATTTTCTTGCACTTCTTGTTATCAAGGCAAGTTGATTATTAGACCATTACCAACAAAGGTTGGGATTAAGTCCCCTGCATTTTTGGAACGTATACAAGGGGATATTTGTAGATCTATTCACCCACATAATGGGTCGTTTAGATATTTTATGATCTTAATAGATGCATTTTCTAGATGGTCTCATGTATGCCTGTTGTCATCTCACAACCTGACATTTACAAAATTAATGGCACAAATAATCCGATTACGGGTACAACTTCCAGATAATCCAATTAAGTCTATTAGACTTGATAATGACACTGAGTTTTTATCCCAAGAATTTAATGATTATTACTTATCAATTGGGATAAAAGTGGAACATTCTGTAGCTCATGTTCACACTCAAAATGGCCTTGCAGAATCTTTGATTAAACGTATGCAATTGATAGAAAGACCATTACTCATGTAAACCAAGTTACCCACTTCAATTTGGAGTCATTCCATTTTGCATGCAACAATACTAATTCGTCTCAGGCCGATAAATTATCATAAATATTTCCCGTTGCAATTACTTTTGGGTCATGAACATAATATATCCCATCTAAGAATTTTTGGATGCGCTGTATATGTGCCTGTAGCACCGCCATATCGCACCAAGGTGGGTCCCCAAAGAAGGTTAGTAATATATGTTGGGTTTGAATCGCCCTCCATTATTCGCTATCTTGAAACATTAACGGGAGATTTGTTCACTACTTGATTTGCAGATTGTAGATTCGATTAGGTATTTTTCCAAAATTAGGGGGAGAAATTGGTGAAACCAAACGTGAAATTTTGTGAAAAAATACATCATTGTCTCAACTTGATCCACGTGCCTCTATTAGTTTTGTGAAAAAATATATCATTATCTCATCTTGATCCACGTACCTCTATTTATGAAAAAGAGGTGTAAAAGATTATCCATTTACAGAAAATAGCAAATCAAATGCAAGATGCATTTACGAATCTGAAAAGGATAACGAAATCACATATCCCTGCAGAGAATGTTCCAATCCGCATTGATGTTCCTGCTGGACAATCTTCTTGTGTCATAGCTAATGAGTCAAAAGCACGCCTAAAGTGTGGCGGACCATTGGGTTCTATGGATCAAAATCCTAGAAAAAGAAAAATAAATGATCAAGATGACACTACGAATTAGTCTCATAAAAAAACCTATGACTTAACCAATCCTGAGATTCATGAGGAAATCAATGAGATTGAGACTCAAGAAAATAAGGAACTATCAATAAACTCAATCAATATTGAGACAGATTTGAATCGATTGTATATAATGGTAGATTATGTCTTTGCATACAATGTTGCATCTATCATTATGCAAGATAATGAAGATCTTGAACCTCAATCTGTTGGAGAATGTCTACAAAGACGTGATTAGCCAAAATGATAAGAAGTAATCCAATTTGAGTGGGATTCACTTGCGAAACGTAAAGTTTTTGGGCCTGTAGTCCAAACGCCTAATGGTGTTGAACCTGCTGGCTATCAATGGGTCTTTGTACGTAAAAGGAATGAGAAAAATGAGGTACAAAGATATAAGGCACGCCTTGTTGCACAAGAATTTTCACAAAGGCATGGCGTCGATTATGAAGAGACGTATTCTCCTGTTATGGATGTTATAACGTTCTATTATCTCATTAGTTTTGCTGTCCATGAAAAGATTGATATGCATTTAATGGATGCGGTTACAACCTACCTTTACGGATCACTTGATAATGAGATATACATGAAAATTCTTGGGGGATTTAAAATGCCTGACGCACATAATTCAAAGTCTAGAAAAATATTTTCAATCAAATTGTAAAAATCTTTGTATGAGCTAAAGCAATCAGGAAGAATGTTGTATAACCACCTTAGTGAATATTTATTAAAGGAAGGTTATATAAATGATGTCATTTGTCTATGTGTTTTTATAAAGAAAACAACATCAGAGTTTGTTGTACTTGCCGTATATGTTAATGACATAAACATTATTGGAACTCCTATAGAATTCCAAAAGGCAATTGATTATTTAAAGAAGGAATTCGAGATGAAAGATCTCGGAAAGACAAAATTATGTCTCGGTTTGCAAATTGAACATTTGGCAAACATGATTTTTGTTCATCAATCTGCCTACATAGAAAATGTATTGAAACGGTTTTACATGGATGGAGCACATCCATTAAGTACTCCGATGGTTGTTCGATCACTTGATGTGAATAAGAACCCGTT